TATTTCTTTTCTGCCAAGTAGAGGTGTTTTGGGGAGCTCTGGTAGCGTAGTGCCTAAGGCACATGACTGCTAACCAGAAGGCTGGCGGTTCAAACCCACCAGCCACTCCCCGGAAGGAAGGTTGGCAATCTACTTCGTAGTGCTACTGCCTCGGAAACCCAAGGAGGGGCCGCTAAGAGTCGGATTTCACTCCATGGCAATGGTTGCATTTGCGTTTTAGAGGTGTTTTTGCTTGGTCCACAGATGGCCAAGGATCCCAGCATCTGCCTATAGCTAACAGCAAACTTTAGAGTGACCCAGCCTTGCAGTTCACAGCAGTGATGCCATTATATTGGTGTTCTGAATCCCCAAGGCCGCCTTGACAACTTAACCCATGAATCAAGTACCCTGGCCTACAATTGAGTATTTCATGTCATAGGAGGTCCCGTAGGTCTTTGTGATGAAGATGACCATTCCTGCACCCCCTAACAATTTCTCTATGCGGAGAAATGTTCAGAGCTGCTTTCAGCATTACTACTCCAAGAAGCACAATGTTGTGCTCAGCTGCTAACCAAAAGGTTGGCAGTTCAAACCTACCCAGTAGCTCCATAAGAGACAGACCTAAAAAGCCCCTTCCATAAATATTGCAGCCAAGAAAACCTTATGGGGTAGTTCTACTTTGTCACATGGGGTTGCTATGAGTTGGAATCAACTTGATGGCACCCAAGAACATTGCTACCACAGCCTTCTGGACTCTCCTTTGAGCTTGTCTTTATTTAAATGTTTCTATATACCTAAAATAACCACCAATCATTTTTTGTATCATATAATTCTTATTTATTAAATAAATGAAATAAGCTGTACAGCATTATTCCAACATTGTTTAAATAAAGAGATTCATATATAAAGGCTTATGAAAAATGTGTACTCTTTATATAATATATACTATATTAAGCATGTGAATAAATATGGACAACAGGAGCCATTTTTATATCACAGATCAGCAACATTTACCATTAGTGATTACACAAACCCATACACAAACAATAAAACCATTTTCTTCAGCTTGAGTATAAAAACTAGAAACCCTTTTGCTATATTTAAGCAGTATCCAAAAAGAAGAGAAGAAAGATTTGTAGTCACGCCCCTTTAAATAAGGGAACCAATTCTCCTAATTCTGTAAGTTGTGTCTTTGTTAGAAGGCTCAAGAATTACATGACAAACAAACAGGTTAGGAATCTGTTCTATAAGGTATGTGATAAACCTACACTACAGAAATGGCTCTTAAAAGAAAATGCTCTTAAAAAACGTGCTCAAGTTTTACAACGAGGTTTGAATTTCTTCTCACCTTTGTATGAACATGGACATCATGCGAATAAATTTATACAGTGAAGATGGACTGACACTCTTTTATTATGTGTTTGACTTCCATTTTTTATTTTTTTGAACTTTTTATTGTTATTTGGGGGAAGGTTTACAAAAAAAAATTGGTTTTCCATTCAACAATTCACACATTTTGTTTTGTGGCACCGACTGCAACCCTCACAGTGTAACAGCACTCTTCCCACTTCCTCCCTGTGCTTCCTTTTCCATTTTTGTGTCCTTCTTTCCTATCCCTCCCTGCCTTCTCAGCTTTATCCCTGGGCAAACGCTGCCTTTTGATCTTGAATGGTTGATTGTTCTAAGGGGTTCATAATTCCTTGGTGTCACTGTTCACCTTATACACCAAAACCCAGTGCCTTTGAGTCAATTCCGACTCATAGCGACCTCCACTGGGTTTCCAAGACTGTAAATCTTCATGGAAGTAGATTGTCTCATCTTCCTTCTGTGGAGTAGCTGATGTGTTTAAACCATTGACCTTCTGGTTAGTAGCCAAATGCCTTACTCACTACCATAATCAGAGCTCTTTCTAGGCCTATATATTGTTTAGCTGAAAATTGGGACATGAGGGTAAGTTCAGGCCCAGGCCTGATGAGTGTCGAAGGGTCATAGTCTTGGGAGTTCCATCAGTCTCTCCCAGACCAGTAAGTCTGGTCATTTTGATGATTTTGAGTTTTGTTTCACATTCTTCTCCCACTCTATCCAGAACCTCCTATTGTGATCTTGTTCACAGTGATTGGCAGTGGTAGCTGGGCACCATCTAATTCTTTTGATCTCAGCATCATGGGGGCTAGGGTTTGCATGGTCCATTAATCCTTTGGACTAGTTGTTTCCATGCATCTTTTTCTTCACTTCTTTGCTTCAGACAGGGAGAGACCAATAGGTGCACTGACAGTCACTCTTTACGTGGTCTTTAAATGAACTCATTTCTACTGTTTCAGAAATTATATGTACACTTAAAAAAAAGTTTTTGACATAAAAAAAAAAAAAAGACTGGCTCATGAACAGTAGTTCTTTAAATTCCAAGAACTCAAAAGTAAAAGCTTCTCTGCAAAAAGCCTTGACCTCATCAATGGAATGTTTTGGTGAGGAACAAAATCTCCTGTCTCTGAACATGGGTTCAGTTTACTAGGACTGAAGCCTGAATGAGCTCAGCTCATGTGCATCACAGGACCCTCCACTGCCATGTACAGCAGGCCAGGATGACATCTGGACTTTTCACATTTGTCTTTTGGCAATGAACACATATCTTTCACCCCATCACCTTTGACCCTTCTTTTCTTTTTTTAATGACTCTGTCTAAGCTCTTACTTTTGGAAATAAAATCTTGTTTCACTGTCTTTTTCAAAGGAAACATTAACAAAGAAGGTGAGACTAACTGTAAGGAAATTGCCTGGTCCTCAAAAAGCCTGAATTCCTCCTTTTCTGCCTCAATGGCAGAAGGCGCCCCAGAAACTAGTAATTTGCCCCATATAGACTGTAGAAGTAGTCTGCCCAGAAGCCCCAGGTGGGGCATAGTTAATGTCATTCTCAAAGGGTAGAACTGAAGGTACCCAAGTGAATATATTCTTTTCTTGGGGCTGTCTTCTACAGGTACGAAGCTCATGGGGCACTCAGGCCAAAACTAAAAACCAAACCAGTTGCCACTGAGTCAACTGGGACACATGGTGCCCCTGAATGTCTCAGAGTAGAACTGTGCTCCACAGGATTTTCATTGGCAGGTTTTTCGAAAGTAGGCGGCCAGGCCTTTTTCCCAAGGTGCCTCTGGACAGACTCGAACTACTAATCGACTAGTCAGCAGCAAGTGTATTCACTGTTTGCACCACCCAGCTACTCAAGGGTTCTCAGAGTCACCTTTTATTTTAAAAAGGATATGATAAAGACAAGAAAGAGGGAGAACACTTTGTCCTCATTGTCTTTAGAAGAGAAAATGAAGAATACATATATACTGTCACAAATGAGCTAAATAGATGCACTAAAGAAATAAGTAGGAGCTTTTATAGCGTAGTGCCTAAGACATTTGACTGCTAACCAGAAGGCTGGTGGTTCAAATCCACCAGCCACTCCTTGGAAGGAAGGTTGGGCAATCTACTTCTGTAGTGATACTGCCTTGGAAACCCAAGGAGGGGATGCTATGAGTCGGGGCCAACTCGACGGCACACAACAACAAAGAAATAAGTTTTTCAAATTCCAATCACATATTTTCCATCTAAAGTAACTAGGAAGTCCAAGACAGGGCATATTTTAACATGAAATAGCACGATCTAAAGTAAAAACTGAAAAGCTGGAAAAATCATCTTTTCAAGTCTCTAGCCACATTTGGATAGGCAAAGTGCATTAAAACCTTAACTTACACAGTGGCCTTTCTTTAACAAGACCTTTCATAATGGGCTTCCCTCATGATTATAGTGAGAACCCCATGATAACATGACTTTCTGCTATCCATACCGTTCATGGAGGGGTTATAGCTACAGGACAGCATGATGTAAACACACTTGTCTATAATGTTGGGTGCATCAACATCATAAAAGGGGCACAGCAGCTATTATTTTCTTCACTTGAGCCCCTACTCCAATAGGTTATCATCTCATTTTCCAGAAACAAGGCTAATAAGCTTTGCTTAAAAATCACAGAGTGACTAAGGGAGCAAGGGGTTGGACCCGTGGCTTGGGACCATGGTCACAGGGGACATCAAGCTCAACAGGCATAGCATACGATATAAAAACATTGTTCTACTTCCTACTTTAGTGATTAGAGACTTAAAGTTTGCAAGCAGCCATCTAGATACAATGATGGGTCTCTCCTCATCCAAAGCAAAGAATGAAGAAAAGCAAGGACTCATGGAAACAATTAGTCCAACGGACTAGTAGACCATGCAGTCCTCAGGCTATGTGACCATGAGACCAGAAGAGCTAGATGTTGCCTGGCTAACATTGTCAACCATTAGGAAAGGGATCAGTGCAGGAGATCCTGCATAGAGTGGGAAGACAATGTGGAACAAAGCTCTAAATCATAAGGAAAAAAAAAAAAAGACCAGGCTTATTGGTCTGATAGAGCCTGGTGAAAGCCCTCAGACTATGGCCCCCAGCTACCCTTCAGGTCTGAAACTGAACTCACCCCTGTGGCTTCCAGCCAAACAACAGACAGGCATATGGGGTGAACATTTACATCAGGTAGATACAATACACTCCTTGGAGCCGAGGAAGAACAGAAGGGCAGTGTTTGCAGCACATAGCTCAGGGGTGGGGAGTGCATGGGAGGAAAAGACACAGGGAAGAAGTGTGAAGAGAGCTGTTACATTATGGGGAATTGTAGTTGATGTCATGAAACAAAATGTGTATGAACTGCTGTAGGAAAATGAATTTGCTCTGTAAACTTTCACCCAAATCACAATAAAAATAATAATAATAAAATATCAGAGTGAAAAACCTATGTTGTTGGAAAACATCCTTGTATTCAAAGCCAACAAATTACAGTGAGTTTAGATATTAAAACTCTGTAACAATTCCTCGCAAAGGTCAAGTCTACAAAGGCTTAAAATCACTTATTGTAAGTGAGAGATCCTGACAAAATAGGAAATTAAAACACAGTGCAATATTCCAAAGACAGATTTCCTGTACTGTCTACACCCGGGGTTGGGTAGTCCAGGTCTCCACGCCTAGCATTTCTTCAGTGGAGAAGAAGCAAAGTCCCCAGAAGTTCAGAACAGCAATACTCTCTCGGAGGCTCCAATCTATGGTTCTGATGAGCTTCTTCAGAGCAGTCTGAGAGTCTTCACCACGCATCTGGATGGATCAGGAGCTACTCTCCCCTGAAGACACCATCCACAGTTCCTGATTTTCTTGCAAGGTTTCTTAAGCAGAAACATGCATTTTGAATGTTATCTTTGATGTCCAAGGGCACTTCAATGGTAAGGAATAGTGTTTGGATGTTGCAATTTATGTCATGAAACATTTGATGAGGCTCAACCAATGCCAGCCAACATAGCAATCTGTACTAACCCAGTCATCACCTGTTGCTCACACCCAGGAATCTGTGATGACCCAAGCAGTGAGAAGCAGCATGAAACAGAGGAAGCTGTACTGTTTTGGAAGGTAGCATTTCAGCATTTTCAGAGGGTATCTCATGCAGCCTGTGGCTTTTCACAAGTCCAATTTCTTCAACTGCTCGTATGTCACAAAGAACTGCAGGAATTGGTTAAGGCTGACAAAGAAAATGCCATCTTAATGATTCTAATAAATAGCAAGTATGTAGAGGCAGACTACAGGCCAGGGTCATGGTTAAAATTTGAGGGGAGTCATGCTCAACAATCCTAAGGTATCTCCCCCTAAGCCTTCCCAAGGTCAGTCAGCTTGGAACAGAAGGATCACAGGTGAAATATAAAATCACCTATCACCAGCTCTGTGAGCCTCTTTTAAGATGACTTCCACAATGATTAGCTTTTGTGACTTTGCTGGGGTAGGAAAATTTTATGTATAGCAAGTTTCTGAGAGACAGTTAACAAGCCTTGGGGCAGCTCTCTGCCAGGGTTTCTGCGAGGCAGGCACTCCTTGGGAGGGAGATGCAGATAAAGAGAAGGAAGGACATGGTGAACCCCAACTGTCCCTACTTCATAATTCTGCCATTCCATGTCTAATAAACAGCTACTCCTTTCCTTCCTCCCACAGCAGCTTGCAGGAAACAGTGTGGATCAGTCAAATAATTCTGGAGCATTCTAGTTTATCCTTAGGCACTCCCTCAAATAAGTATTCTAGAACACTGTGGCCAAGCCACATCCTTCCCAAGAGTGGTTAGGGATGACAAGTCCAACTCTGTCTCTGTCTGAAATCATAAATGCCATCAGCTTCTAGATCAGTCTGAAAGGTATTTTTATTGATAGCATTACGCTCTGATAGCACCATCACTGAGACAAGATTCATAGTGCCCAGAAACTTTACAGTTCTTAAAAATGAAGCTGAATAGTTATTTCTTATGAAATATTTCTGAGGAACTTGTAAGAATAACTTACTGCTAAATTATAGTTAATAACATGGTAATTTATTTAAAAAAAAATTATTTTAACTACATTTTTTTTTTCAGACCAACTACCAAAGAAAAGGATACAATGATATTCCAAGGACCAAGTCTTAACCAGTTTGGCCAAAACCCTTTATATAGAGCAAAAAAACCTTCATTCTTCCATGTCTGTTAAAAGGAAAAAAAAAAGTTGACATTACTTTCCAATTACATCAAATGCATTGATAATTAGTGGTTAAACATAAAACTCCCATGAGTCAGCAATCCCAATCCTAGGTATATACCCAAAATAACTGAAAGCAGGAATGCAAATCTGTACACCAATGTTTGTTGCTGCACTGTTCACAACAGCTAAAAGTGAAAAGAACCCAAACGGCCATCAACGATTAAGTGGATAAACAAAATGCGGTACATACATATAACAGGAAAGAGCAATGAAATTCTGATACATGCTACAACAAGGATAAATTGCGAAAACATGCTGAGTAAAGTCAGTCAGTCAGAAAAGGACAAATATTATGATTTCACTTATATGAGATGTCAGAGGCAAGCGTATAGAGACCAAAGTTTTTCAGTAGTTACCAGGGGTGGCATGGAGGTGGAAAAGGGAAGTCTTAGCTTCGGGGGCACTGAGTTTCTCTTAATGGTGATGGAGTAATTTAGAAAGAGATAGTGGTGATGGCTGCACAACATTATGAGTGGTACCAACGCCACTGCACTGTACATGTAAAACACGCCAACTGGCAAAGATTTTGTTATGTGTATTTTTACCACAATAAAACAATTTTTAAAAATATAGTGGCTGGACTGATCTATTCTGCTTGAAAATAAAATCCTGTTTGGAAGGCCTGTCTTAGAAATCATTGGCCTGTGTTTCTTTTGGTTTTTTAAAACTTTCTGCACAGAAGATGAACAGTGTTTAAATGAGTATGAAATTAGGCTTGCTTCTAACTTTCATGCTCATCATACGTTGGTCTGAAAGAAACAATGGTGGTAAAGATACCAGAGCACTACGGTCTCATTAAGCTGTTGGATGGATAAAAGTAACAAATATCTTTGCTTCACTAAGAAAATATATGAAGTCTAGAAAATGGGACCATAAAAGTGGTCCCTAATCATTGGCCAAAGAGCTCTGGTGGTGTAGTGGTTAAGGCATTTGGCTGCTAACCAGAAAGTTGGTGGTTCAAACCCACCAGCAGCTCCACAGGATGAGGATGAGGTGATCTACCTCCATAAAGATTACTGCCTTGGAAACCCAAGGAGGCTCCCTATGAGTCGGAATTGACTCAATGGCAGTGGGTGAGAATTACTGGCTGCTGGCAAGCTTTCACCCACTCCCACACAGTCGTAGTCCCAGATTTAACTGAGTAGCCCTGTAGATCGATAAGCTCCTCTGAGAGCGATCGGAGTGAAGTATGACTCCAAGGAAGGAGGCGTAGTTTGGAAGGAGGCACGGTTCTATTATGATCACAGTGACCATTCCATCACTCTTCAGAGCACAGCTGAGGTTTAAAGAAAATGAACTTTAATTTTCAAACATTCATCTAGATTTTGCAGTTAAAGTGAACCCTAGTGTGGCAGAAATTGCATACAATATGTGCATTTGAAGGCTTTGCAGTGTTACTCATCTTAGTTTTAAACACTCTGAGGTCAAATCTATCAATGTCTTTGTCGGGGGTGGAGGTCACTGATTGAAGCAATCACCAGAACACAGGACAGTAAGTAAAATACACTTGCTTATTTCCTAAGTGTCCCTTATTATTATCAGTAGTAATCAACTACCAAGGGCTTACTATATCCCAGGCACTAAACTAACTGCTTTATGGGCATTATCTCACTTTTCACAATAATCCCATTATACAAGCACTACTATTGTCCCCATTTAACTTAGAAGGAATCTGTGAGATAGAGAGTAAGTATCCTGACCAAAATCATACAATTTATAAGTGACAGACCCTTAGATTTTTCTTACCCTGGCGTGTGCATTCTTAAATCTTTATGAAAATAAGCTATTCAGAGGGTAACGTGGAAGCTAATGGCTATGAAAGCAATTCACAGCCTTCCCCAGACATTCATTCTCACCTGTAATAAACAATCCAGGGTCCCAGTGTAACCAGAGCATCTGCCATCTCGGAGGACTCTCTGATTCATCATACGTGTTCTCACAACATCAACAGGGTTTGAGGCCAGGGCCCCCGCCAGGCCACAGGTGAAACTTGAGCTACGAAGAAGACATCATTGGGCACATAAATTACAAGGACCAGCACCAAAGGCAAGAAAAAGGCTCCCCCCCAAGCCACGTTAAAGTACACAGGACAAGATGAAGTGGGTCGTGTCTGGAAAGCTGCACAAACTCCAACACCAGCAATGACCACACTGGCTAGAAATTCCAGCCACAACTAAGAATATCCTTGAGCCTCTGGAATGTCACATAATTAGGGAAACATGGAAGGAATGCCCTCTAATGATGATCTATTCCGTCTATTATAGGCATCAGGAACCTGGGTGGCACAAGCAGTTTGTGATCGACTGTTAATCTAAAGGTGGGCAGTTCAAACCCACCCAAAGGCTCTGAGGAAGAAAGGCCTGGCAAACTGTTTCTGTAAAGTTTACAGCCAAGAAAACCCTATGGAACAGTTCTACTCTGCATACATGTGGTCGCCATGAATTGGAATCAACTCAATTGCAATCGATGTGATGATGTCCTTTTTTAGGCATCAGAGTGATTCTAGCTATTTGTTGTTGTTGTTGTTGTTATGTGCCGTCAAGTCAGCCCCGACTCATAGCGACCCCTCCTTGGGTTTCTGAGGCAATATCACTATGGAAGTAGATTGCCCATCCTTCCTTTTGAGGAGTCGCTGGTGGGTTTGAACCGCCAGCCTTCTGGTTAGCAGTCAAGTGCTTTAGCCACTATGCTACCAGAGCTCCTTTGACTTTTTCTTAGTATGATTCTATATTATACTTTTTCAAATATGAGAATGTAATGTCTTTATAACAAATTCTAGCTATAGCATAAGTTTAATCTCCTTAAAGATCAGAGAAAAAGACTTCTTCACTGTAATGTCCACCACAGTTCTAAACTTTCAGCCTCACAAGACTACCATTGACCACACTTGGTACCAGTTAACTTAGAATCCCGGAGAAGGACATCACACTTGGTAAAGTAGAGGGTCAGTAAAAAGGGGAAAGCCCCTGAACAAGATGGACTGACACAGCAGCTGCAATGATGGGCTGAGCCACAGCAGTAACTGTGAGGATGGCACAGGACCGGGCACTGTTTCATTCTCTTGTACAAAGAGTCACTGAATCGAAACCCACTCAATGGCACCTAACAACAACATCTTGGAACAGGGTTTCTCAACCTTGGCACTATTGGCATCTCAGCCCACAGAATTCTTTGCTGTGAGGGGTGGGCCTGCATATTATATGTAGGATGTTTAGCAGCACCCCTGGCCTCTACCCACTAGATGCCAATAGCAAACAGCCCAAGTTGTGATAATCAAAACAGTCTCCAGTCATTGCCGTGCATTGCCCAGAAGGCAAAACTGTCTCCTGCGATAAGTTAAATAAACTATGATATACCCATACAACAGGATGACCTGTAGCTATTAAAAATCAATGAATAAATCTGTATGTACTGACATGAAAGGGTGTTTGGACTATTGTTAAATTTTAAAAAGCAAATAAAAGAATGAAAAGCATGATTTTATTTGTGTAACAAAGTACTTGTAATATACTTCCATAGACATATTTGTATATGCATGGAAAATGCCTAGAAGGTGCATATCAAACTGTTAAAAATAGTTATCTGTACAAAAGGATAAGGACTTTTGACTTTTTCTTAGTATGATTCTATATTATATTTTTCAAATATGAGAATGTAATGTCTTTATAACAAACTTTCCTTAAAATGTCTATAAATGTGTGCCACATTTCCACTTAACCTCATTCATATATAAAATGTTGTTGTTGTTATATACCATTGAGTCAGTCCCGACTCATAGTGACCCCTCCTTGGGTTGCCAAGGCAGTATCACTGTGGAAGCAGGTTGCCCAGTCTTCCTTCTGACATATATAAAATAGTAATTTTAAAAAATCCATAAACATACAGGAAGTGGGTATATACAGTGTCTCCCATCAGTCCAGAGAGAATCAGATGCTTTTTGGTGATGTCATAGACAGGCAGCTCCACGCCAACAACAATCGCAGCTCTCTGAGCAGTAAGGGACACACCCTGGAGAAAAACAGTCATAATGAACAAGATTCAGATACTTAGTTATTACTCTCCATAGACCAAACCTTGCAAATTTACAAATCCACAGACTATGAACAATTTTTATGTTTTTTGCTGGCAGATAAGAGACATAGAACAGCACAGTGGTGAGACCTTTGGGCAAGAAGCCAGGAGCTCTTGAGTCTAATTCTGGTTCTGGCACTCACCATATGACCCTGGCCAAGACAAGTCACCTCTCAGAACCTCTGGTTTCCTATTACATGCTGAGGGGACTGTACTGGATGGTTTAGGGTCTATTCTATGAACTGGTAAGTGACTAGAATACTAAGAAGTAGCACTCCACCCCAGGGCTTGTCTAGTAACACAGCCTTCACTGAAGAGCCATGAAATCATGTTGTTGTTGTTGTTATTTGCCATCGAGTGGGACCCAACTCATAGCGACCCCTCCTCGGGTTTCTGAGGCAGTATCACTACGGAAGTAGATTGTCCAACTCTCCTCCCGAGGAGTGGCTGGTGGGTTTAAACCGCCAGCCTTCTGATTAGCAGTCAAGTGCTTTAGGCACTACACCTTTTTTTTTTTTTTCCATGAAACCACAGAGATCAAAAAACCTAATATAACCATAACCTAGAAACCCTTCCCATGAGAATTAAAAAAAAAAAAAGCAAGCAAGCAAACAAAATAAAAGACCACTCAACCTTCACAGAATTTCCTATAATATGGATTACTTAAAAGATACTTTACAATTAGGACATGGTTCTTTTATTTCCATTTTATAGACAGGGACATTAAGAAACACAGTATCTTCAAAAGAAGAAAATGTTATTTTCTTCCTTTACTCCCTTATGCCATTTGGATTAAGATAAAATGATGGAAATAGGAAAAATAAATTTAAAAAAAGGGAAAAGAGACAAGAATTCAATCAGTCTGGTGCATCCTGCTTTCCCACTCACCTTCCACAGTCCTCTTGTTCCCTCTTGCTGGTAGATGTTCATGAAGTTGCCTATCATTCCTCCTTGAATGGTACTGCTCTGAGCTTGCATTCGTATCTAGAAATTGTTTTAAAGACCAACATGAGAGGGAAACTAGCTCATCCCCCAAAATGTATACCTCTGAAAACCATTCCATCTGTTGCCTAATAATGATGAACAGAAAAAATGGTAATTTAAGTATTACTATGATGCTAATTTAAAGTACATGTCCTCAACAGATTAAAGAGACTGGGTTAGGGCTGGGGATGATTACTGGGGAGTGAAACCAAATGTACATGAAATGCTGAATGTAAAACAAACTCTGCTCTGTAAACTTGCACCTAAAGCACAATTTAAAAAAATAAAAAAGAATACATGGGAACCTTAGAGGACAGTGAATTGATGTTAAAGGGGGGAGGAACAACTCAGAAAAAGAGAGTGAGGTTGATTACAGTAAAAAAGAAAAAAACTGATCTACAAAAAAAAATCTTTTCAGAAGAAAAGAGTTTATCTCCTTACAGGTTACTATATAGGAAAGAGAGAAAATACTGGTAATTCTAAACATTTCATATAATTAATAACAGTATTCAGTATACTTGGCAGCACTTAAGTACGTGCAAGCATAATTCTTAAATTAGTTACTCCAAGCCACAACTATTTACAATCAGCTGAACCAAAAGGTATGCGGATGAGCGGCCATGAGACGGCCACATGATGCCTGCCCCATGCTCCATTACACTTGACCTTACTACTGAACTTCACAATAGCCATGGAGATTCTGGCAGAAAAATAACATTTGATGTAACTCTTTGCATTTTTAAGAAAGAAAAGGGATTTCCTGCTAAAAAACTGGTACCTTCATTTTGTTTATGGAGTGTAGCTATGAGTCAAAATCAAGTCAACAGCAATAAGTTTGGCTTTCTTTCAAGTGGGTTGAATAGTGTCCCCCCTCCCCAAATTCTCATCCATCTGGAACCTGAATATGATCTTATTTGGAAATAAAGTCTTCGTAGATGTAATGAGTTAAGGATGTTGAGATGAAAACATCCTGACTTAGGCCCTACATGCAATGACTGTTCTCCTTAAACCAGAAGAGACTACAGGGAAGATGCAGACAGAGAGCGAGCGGTAGGTATGTCTACAAACCAAGGAAGGGCAAGGATCACCGGCAACCACCAGAAGCTAGGACAGAGCCAAGGGATGGTTCCCTTCAGAGCCTCCCGAAGGAGGCTGCTGATCTTTGATTTCGGACATCTAGCCTCCAGAACTGTGAAAGAATAAATTTCTGTTGTTTTAAGCCCCCGATTTTGTGGTAATTTTTCACAGCAGTCCTAAGAAACTAATACAAAGAGTAAATACATTACCTCTAACTTTTAAACCAAAACATCAGACCTCTTTGCCACTGCACTGATTCTGGTTCATGGTGAGCCCATGTGTTAGAGTAGACTGCCCCACGGGGTTTCTCGGCTGTAATCTTTACTGAAGCAGATCACCAGGCCTTCCTCCCACAGTGCCATTGGTGGCTACGAACTGCCAGTCTTTAGGTTAATAATCGGGGGCAAACCATCTAACTACCCTGGAACCTCTTCTAACTTCGAAGGGAACTGTTACAAACCAAGATGCAGAAACTGCCTTTCCCTAAGCCCTGAGATACATTGAAGATAGTAAATGGGAGTGTGGATATTTTTCTGTAGCTCTCTTACCCGAGCCAGCACAGACTAAAATCATGGCAAAAGGGCCTGCATTTCCTCTTCACAATACACACTATACCTTCACTGTACTGCACACACAACTGCAGTACAGTGAACATACTGCTCAACATTTCAGTGCTTCCCAGAATCCCCTCGTGGACTGAAGCCTCTCTAAGCGCGGGGCCTCATCTTACTTCAGTGTCTTTCAAGCACCTAGTACACCAAATGACAGAAGGTCAAATAATAAAGAAAGAAGTGTGAAGGGCACAAAGAGAAATTACCCTGAGAGAGTTAAGAAAGTAACTCACCCCCTAATTTTTATTTTATATAATAAATTATACCCCTGCCTTATTCCAAAGAGGACGTAAGGAGGCTGCATCCCTGGTATTCTCAATAAGGTCACTTAATGTGCTACATGTAATTACAGCAGCCCATCAATTTTTAATGAACCAATAAAATGAGAGAGATTTTAAACGAAAAAAGAGATTCAAATGCACCGAGGTCTAAACGATTTTTTCCTGCTTAATTACAAGAAATCTGAGCCCTACTTTTGACTGTATTTGCATCAGTGGGAAATCCACCTAGTGCGTATTTAAAAGTTAGGGTCTTCACAGCATGTAAATTATAAACAGATTCATGTATACACAAACCAAACCAGACCCACTGCCATTGAGTCGCTTCCAACTCATGAGGATCCTACGTGTTACAGAGTAGAACTGCTCCATGGGGTTTTCTCAGCTGGAATCTTTATGGAAGGAGACTGCCCAGCCTTACTCCCGTGGTGCTGCCGGCTGAGTTAAAAATGACAACCTTCAGGTTAGTAGTCGTGAGCAAACTGTTTGCACCACCCAAGGACTCAGACACGCCAAACGTGTTGTATCTGCAGATTTTCATTATCTGAATATTGTTCCCCATAAGAAAATGTGCAATGTGACCATAAGATATTGATTTCACTGCTTACTTTCAAAACATCAGTTGGATTGGCAATGGTTGAGGATATGACTCCAGAGAGAATTCCACATATGACATTTATCAGTAGGGTTTCATCTGCAACACAGACATTATCATTATCTGCCCTCTGATACAGAGCTCTTCCTGTAGGTAATTCAAATACATAACTCATTTACATACAACTTGCTCAGCTTAAGATAATAAAGAAATACATACTTTATGATTCAAGTAATTTTAAAAGGATTAGGAACTGTTGCTATCTGAAGAGATTTTGCTTAGCAAAATTTATTGATATCTGAAAAGCAATGTGAATCTTTATACAAAGTGAGTAACCCATCTATCAATTTACTTGTGTGTGTAAATTCAGACCACCCTAATCAAGATGAGGCATATCTGTTAGGAGAATAAAAACAGATAGGCTTCTATAAAATAACTGGGAGATTCATTTGGCACAGAATGTTTCAAAGAACATCTTATCTATTTCAAAATAAAATAATTGCTACTGAAGCAATTCCAAAGCATCTAAGCTGCTGTTCACCATTCTTACATAACAGTGACTGGTGTCTGTTCCACCGTAATAAAGAGAAACTGCTATGGATTAAAACAAAGTCACAGAACCAACCAGCAAGAGAGTATTACAATGCAGAGCTCTTAATTCTAAATGTATCCACTTCTTTCCTGGAAAAAATGCAATAATTCATATGACTTTAGAGACTTCAAAGTTGGGCAGAACTATAATGTTATATGGTCTAGTTGTTATTTTGGAAATGAGAGCAACTAGTAATGATTGCTCCTTGTAGTCATGACTCTCACTAGGCTCCCTCAATTCAGCTGAGAACTCCAAGCATCATTCATTTTAGACTTTACACCTAGAGTTTTCCTTAATTGCTGCCACAAATAAGCTGAAGAAAATTTACTCTAAAGTCACAGATATAAAGACAAACAGCTCACCTCCTCTCCACAGGTGGAAAAAGGATTCTCCACTTACCTTCTGGCCGTTCAACAAATAATCGCTTCAAGCTCTGGTAAGTGCCTATCTTGATTGTGCCGTAAGAAGCCTGGCGCAGCATTGCTGGGGCAATTCTGTCCACAAACAAAGAGACAAAGAAAACTCACTTAAAACCTGAAACATTAGCCTTGTCTCCTTTTTCCCCACTATGTCCTAATATATCAAGTTACATACTACTGTCGATCCTACCTCCCAGTTTTTTAATTTGTCTGCTGCTTCTCCTTCCCCAAAACCAATACCTCAGTTCAGATCCTCACTGTCTGCTTTCTAAGTGACAGTCCTTCCTGCTTCCAGTGTGACCTTTAACTTTTTCTCCACAGCGTAGGTAGTCATCTTTTTATAATGGAAATCTCATCCTGTGGGTCCCCCTACTTAAAACCCTTCAGTGATTTATGTCTACCATAAGCACACACACACACCCATACCCACATACACATATACACCCCAAAACCAGTTGCTGACGTATTGACTCTGACTCATGGAGACCCTGTGTCAAAGAAAATTGTGCTTCATAGAGTTTTCAAGGACCATTTTTTGGGGAAGGAGATTGCCAGGTCTTTCTTCTGAGCTGCCTCTGGCTAGACTCGAATCTCCAACCTTTTGGTTAGCAGGCAGGGCATTAATTGTTTGCACCACCCAGGGACTTCTACCACGAGCATAAATTTAAATGCTCCAAGTAACCATGTAAGGAGCTCTGGTGGCATAGTGGATAAGGTATTTGGCTGCTAACCAGAAGATCAGTGATTCAAACCCACCAGCTGCTCCATGGAAGGAAGATGAAGCAATCTACTTCTGTGAAGATTAACAGTCTTGGAAACCCAAGGGGGGTTACTATTAGTTGAGACCAACTTGATGGCAGTGAGTTTGGGTTTTTGGTAACCATGTTGACATCACTGAGTGAAGTAGGCTGGATCTAACTGCACACACATATACTACATGAGCTTGTAAAGGTCTTTGTAAACCAGAGAAAGTATCCTGAAGTCCAGCTACTGCTGTCATAAGTGAATGCATATGTATGTAGTGTTGAATTTTCTTGAGATGAAACCTTGGATTTTTTTTTCTCCTCTTAATTTTTATTTTGATTTTGGGAAAATTTTACAGAGGAAATTCATTTTCCATACAGCAGTTCATACTCATTTTATCATGACACTGACTGCAATTCCCCACAATATAACAGCTTTCTTTCCACTTCCTCCCTGTGGTTACCTCTTCCTGTGTCCTTCTTTCCCATGCATTCCTGCCCCATGAGCTATCTCCCTGTGCAAATACTGCCCTTCTTCTGTTCTCCCATGATTGATCATTCTACGGAGTATATCTACCTGATGTAAATGTTCACCCTATAGGCCTGCCCTTGGATTTTGATATGCAATTTCTCATTTTAAAATACTGGCTCAATTGAAAAAAAACAAAATCATTGGGGGTTGGAAGGGGAGCTATGGGCCATGAGCTTGCAACCTCTAGTGTACTGGATAAAGTCAAGATGCTTAGCATGGCATGAAGTTGTCTATTTCTCGGCTCCTTACCACCACTCCAGCTCATCTCTTGCTCATCAACCCTTACTCTATATCCACACAGAATCACTGTCAATCCTTATAATGTATCATGCTCTCTTGCATATGCTACTGGCTCTGCATGAACATAGGTCCCTTCTAACTTTACCTGGCTAACTCTCTGTGATCTATCCAGATAAGACACAATGCCTCCTAGCTAAGAGCAGCTTTCCTGAAAACTCCCACCTCCCCTGTTCCCACAATCTGTGATTGACACCCTGCCTCTACCAGACACTAGTGCTTATCAGACTGCATTGTTCTCCCATCTGCAGCCCCCACTAAACTAGAGTTCCTCAGTTCCTTGAGGACAATGTGCTGTCGAGTCCCCATCTGTCCTCCCAGCTCCATTCTTACCCTTCTCTGTCCAGCTCTGTGCTCTGAGAGGCTGATCTATGGACTGTGTCTACACACTGCATCACCCAGGGCATCACCTAGGATCCCTTGCCAGCTGACTTCTGGGTGGGTACCACAGGTAGCAGACAGGAAGGAGCAAAGAAAGTAGGGATTCCTCTCCCCAACTCACTCCTCCCTGGGCTCTACCAAAGCCACCTCTACACTACTGTTTGTGTTGGGTGGGTTCTCCTGCAAGTCTCCTGCCCTTAGTGGGCTCTAGTGACACCTTTCCTGCCCTTGTTCCTAGGGTTGGTAACAATTTTTCACTTTGCTAATTTCCAGATACTTCAGCATCATCCTTCATTTGCCCCCTTACCCCTCAGAGTCCCTTCATTAAAGTCTCTTTATATAAACTACCTGAGAAACTCAGTTTTCTGCAGGGACTCTGATATAGGCAGGGCCTGTCTTACTTGCTTTACTATGCAGAGCTTCCAGCACCCCGTTCACTAAACATTGAATGAAAGAACTGGAGTTCACTGCAACTCTCAGTCTCGGAGGACACTGTATCATTTTCATCACGGCAAAAACCTCAGTAATTCAGAATAGCTAAGGGAAAGGCTATTTTCAGAGCAGTAATTGAATTACAGGCTATTTTAAAACAAATACAATTTTTATATTATTGTCTGTACTTTAATACAATAAAAATGTAGTTTCACCAAAAACTTACTGCACACAAAACACATTTGGAAAACAGAGTGGAAATTAAATGCGGTAAATCTATAATGCTGATTGAGCTTTTCAAATACACTTCAAATATTTATTTTTTCTCCATGAAGTCTTAAGTCTACTTATTTGAAAGGGTCAACACAGCACTATAAATGCAAAAAGGTTTACTCACCCTGAATACAGTGCTTTCAGCCCTTCTTCTCTGCCTATCCTCACTAACGCGTGCAACATTCCACGATACCTAATTTCTTTAAAGTTTGCATCGTTGGTCTGGCCTTGAATCTGGAGACGTGTCTTAGTTAAATCAATTGGAAATGTACCTTAACATTTTAAAGAAAGAAAAATTTCATTTAATAAACAGAAGTTCCAGAAAATAAGGGATACACAGTGGCATATTGCATTCAGACTATAATATAAACCAAAATAGAGAATAAAGAAATGGTAAGCACTTCGCAGTATTTTTTCTGTTTTAAATCCTTTTTAGGAAACCAAAGATGGACACAACTCAAAAAAAATCACACATGCATCTTCCTTTCTATCCTTTTTTAATTTACACCCTGCCTTATTCCCCACAGGATGCAAGAAGCCTACATCACTGCTGAAATTTACCAGTACATAGGGTGATTTATGCAAACAGAAAAGTCCACTAAAACAAGTTACTATTCTTTACACACATGAAGGCTAAAACTGGGCTCAACACAAATGAAGAAAAAAAATTCATGTACTAAATGATCCACATGTTTTCATTTAAGAAGGACTGATTTTATAGCCTAAATTAAATCTGACAATATAGCTAAAAATATTACCTAACAAATACCAAACAAGGAAAAAAACTTGTTGCTATCAGGTCAATTCTAACTCATGGTGAACCTATACGTTAAAGAGAACAGCTCCACAGGATTTACTTGGCTGTAATCTTAACAAGGCCTTTCTTCCATGGTACCACTGGATGGGTTCAAACCACCACCGTTGAGGTTAGTAGTCAAGTGCAAACCATTTGCACCACCTACAGACCTAACAGATAGTTCACTCAAATATATAAAGCCCACACTCAGTGTGGTGGTTAAGTTTGTATGTCAACTTGGCTGGGCCTGGTTGAGTGGCTGGGCAGCTGCATGTAGTATTCCCCATGATGAGACTAGTAATCAACTTCGTGGTGGAATCCACTGTGAGCAGGTGAGTAGTTGCCTTAGGGATGTGGTCTGCTTCCTGTATACAAGAAACAGCTTGGGAATGGTCTCTAGCTTATGGCACACTTGATCCCTGCATGTAGCCTTGTTATTGTTCAGCAGCCTTCCATGGTCTGAGGACCCTGCGACTTTTAATGGACTTGAATTAACAGCCTGCTGTGTGGTTTGGTAACATCGGGACTGTGCCTTTTTACTTGTCAACCTTGGGTTTGTCAGTCTCAGCAGCCAGCAGCTGTCTGAGTGAAGAAAAAGCCTCGAGCTCCAGTAGGCTGGGATCAGGAGGCAGAGCTGAAGCCCAAGGTTGAGGGGCTTTCACCCAGCCCCGAGAGCCTGGCACTTCGAATTCGGACTTAAAGACTCCAAATTGTAAGAGAATAAACTGTTTCTTCAGCCATCCCATTCATGGTATATTTCTGTCAGAGTGGCACTAGGTAACTCAAACACTCAGAAAGTAGGTTCAGTGGGAAAGCCCCCAACACAGAGAACCTAAGCCGGTGGGTGGTCAAAGTGTCTCAACCCCTCAGTCTAGGTCCTCATTGGTTCCTCATGGGCAGCTGCTCCAACCCGTCCTTACATAGCAGCAACTAGAGCCCTGGAAGCAAATCAAGCATCCAGCCCAGCTTCTGGTACTCAGCAGTTGCTTAATCAACATTTGTTGAAGGAATGGATCGAGAGAGGAATAAATAAACGAAGGGGCAACAAGGAGCTGGTGTGGAACCCACCTGATGAGGAAGTCACAAGTAGGATACAGATAATGTGCGTAAGCAGAAATGGACTGAATAATTAGCCAGTCTACTCTGGCCTAAAGAAGCCCCTTGAGCATCTCAAAACCTTTTAACAGCCAAATGTGTTAACAGTGCCAAAGTGGAGGGAAAAGAGGAACTGATGCAATCCAAAAACGAGTCATAAAATGCCTGTTAGTCAACAGGCTCAACTTTCTCCCCAATGAACTTTGTACCCTAAGCTGCAAATAAATAGCCAAAATGACTATTTTGTCTTAAAACAGACCAAAAACAAGGAAAAACGTGAAACTCTGAGATTAATGTTTCATAACTGCACATTCTGTGCTTGCATTTCATGCACACCAAACCCCACAGCATGACAACATATTAAACATATTAAACCAGTGGGGACATTGCTTACCACACTCGGCCGTGATGGAGGCCAGCCCTCCGTACACAAATGGCTTCCAGTTTAGGGCCGACATTCTCACCAACCTCCCGTCTCCTTTGATTTATGGAAACATAGCGTCCAACAGGGTTTTTCCTGGACACAAAAGCAACATGCTTCAAACTCGTAAATTCTCACTGGTAGTTTCTTCTCTAAACTTTCATTAAAAACTCCTGTAACAATCCCCCCTGCACCCCTTACAATGCCCCCTTCACCCCCTGCAAAGATGACCCCTGAGCCCACTGCAACAATCCCCCCTCCACCCCCTATAACAATGTACCCCTCCCTCCACACCATGCAATAATCTCTTCCACCTCTGCAACAATGCCACCTCTAACCTCTTCCAATCCTCCCTGTACCCCCTGCAACAATCTCCAAGGAGAGCCTTGCCTCTATAAAACTAAGCATCTCTATGTCCTAGACTCCAAATCAGCAATTACTAATCTCACAGGAACAAAATCTTTATGTGGTAACAGTGTAGGGGCTACTGTCCCAACTGCAGAGATGAGAAAGGAAACATCTTATCTATATTAACTTACACACACACACATATCCCTCACTTTATCACTTGTCCTAATTCTCACTCAGGCCCTAAGAAGTAATCCACTATGCTGACTGACACCTTGATCTTGATATGCGTGTATGTCTTCAGTGCCCTCTATTTTCTGGGTAGTCTCTTATCTTTCATCTGTTCTTCCTCACCCAATAAACACTTGGTGTTCTTCTGTCACTGTCTGAGAGAGTCCTCACCACAGGCGGTGGAGGCTTTCATGTTGCTATGATGCTGGGCAGGTTTCAGTGGGGCTTCTAGATTAAGATGACTAGGAAGAAAGGTCTGGTGATCTACTGCTGAAAATCAGCCAATGAAAACTTTATGGGTCACAATGGTCAGATCTGTAACCAATCATGGGGACAGTGCAGGACTGGGCAGCATTTCATTCTACTGTGATGACTCCATGGCAGCTAATGACAACAGGGGCATCCCAACCGTCAGGTGCACTAGAGCAGATGAATGGTGCAAACCAGTAATAAGAAGTGCACTTCAAGGAAGATATATTGAAGTCTAACCCCTGGTACCTGTGAAGGTGGAATCCAGTCCAAGTGGAATCCTTTAAAAAAGGAAAAGAAACAGAGAGATAGACAGAGGAAGGCTGGCCTCGCAAAGATGCATCTACAAGCCAGGGGTTACTGGGCGCTACCAGAAAATGGGAGAGACAGAAAGTATCTTCCCCTCGAGACTGTGGAGGAACACAGTGATGCCAATATGCTATTTGGATTTCTAGCTTCCAGAATTGTGAGACAATAAATTTCTGTTGCCCAGTTTGTGGTATTTTGTTCCTAGGCAGCCTTAGGAAATGAATATACAGTGTCATAAGGTCAAATGCAACCTGAAAATAAGTCATAAAACTTGTTTTGGTCAACAGGCTCAACTTTCTCTCCAATAATTACTCAAAATTACCACCATAAACTTCTAATCACATTTAATAAATGAGGCTCCCTTCTCTTACTCAAATTATGTTAGTAGCTGAGAGGCAGCACCGCAGGAAGAAAGAAAGCAGAATCTGAGGTCAGAGCCACACCACTTCCTTCCTAGGGAAATTCCTGTTAAACTTCGAATCTAGGTTGTTTTCTTCATCAAGCTTCACTGCCTAACAGCTGACACAACCAATTAGATGTAGAGCCCATACCATTAAGCTAAATGAAATGCCTTCTTTCAGGCCTATCATGGGGATGAAATGCCACATATTTAAAAAAAGCTAGCACAAAAAAAAGGGCACTCAACATGTGTTGCCTTCCACCCTCGAATCCCTTAACAGATCCTCACACACTGTGGTATATACTCACACACATGCCACAGCCCCAGACCTCCACATGCATTAACCCCGCTGCTGTTGATTTCTACTCATCCTAACCCTATAGGATAGAGTAAAACTGCCCCATAGGCTTCCAAGGCCCTAGTATGGAAGCAGACTGTCACACTGTTCTCCTCGGAGCAGCTGGTGGGTTCAAACAGCCAACCTTTCAGTTAGCAGCCAAGCACTTAACCACTGTGCCATCAGAGCTCCTTTTCCACATGTACTAGATGTGCTGTAATTATACAGGATCGGGGTCAACACAAGTGACATGTGCACATTAATTCACTTCTGTACACACACTACCAAATGAAACTACTAATTTATTATAGTCATTATGGCAAGCAGTACACCCAATGTGTTTATTTTGCATGTGTTCAGGGATTTCACAAGTCTGCATTTCCCAGGAGAGGCTCGTCCCAAGTTACCATTGCCCAGAATGTCAGTTCTCAGCAAGTCCAAGGGGCTTACTTAAGTAAGAGAAGATACAAGGACTCCAAAGAGGACCCTGAATAAATCTACCAATAGCCATTCCTCGTTTATGGGTACTACCCAAGTTCAGAGAGGTCAGAAATGAGTAAGACAGAAGGCTCTCTAAGCATGGATCTTGAAGTCATCCTATGCTCTTATGTACTTCAGTACTGAAGAACAGCTTCTCTTTGGCAACGCCTGCACAGGAAAAAAAAAAATTGCCATCAAGTTGATTCTGCCTCATGGCAACCCTGCGTGTTACAGCAGAACCGTGTTCCATAGGCTTTTCAAGGCTGTGACCTTTCTGAAGCCGAACACTTGGTCTTTCGACAGAGGCACCTCTAGGTACACTTGAACCACCAACTTTTCCATTTCAGTTAGTAGCCAAGCTTACCTGTTTGTACCACCCAGGGACTCCTAACTAATCCTAATCAAATCAAAACCAAACCCACTGCCATCAAGTCAATTCCGACCATAGTGAACCTATAGGACAGAGCAGAACTGCCCCCATAGGGCTCCTCAGGCTGTAAATCTTTATGGAAGCAGGCTGCCTCATCTTTGTCCCAGGGAGTGGCTCGTGGGTTTGAACCACTGACCTTCTGGTTAGCTGCCAAATGCTTTAACCACTGCACCACCACAGATCCAACTAATTCTTAACTTTATTAAATTCATAGTTAATATAATGATAAATATTTTAAGTTATATATTATAAGAACATATTAATAATGAGTCCAATATTTCATTTATTGTCCAACAGTACATTTCTCAACTGACTTTTTAATTTGCTGATTGCCAAGTTAAAAAACAAAACAGTAACTACATAACAGTGGCATCTGGTGGTACTAGAGCTTACCACTACAGTGCTCTCTATCAGTGATCTCACTGGATCCCTCCCAACAAGTCTGTAGTTTGTTGTTGTTGTTGTGTAGTAGGAGGGCAGATATTACCATTCCCACAGAGTAGGAAACCCAGCCCCACAGAGCTGATGGAGGCAGAACTGTGCCTCCAACCCCAGTTGTTCTCACTCTATCAGTAAGGTTCTTTCTGCTACAATCTGAGAGTATGTACTATTATTAAAGAAGTGCTATTTTTTTCAAATAAAGAACCCACAAGTTCATTCCAATAACCTGAAATTCTATTCATTTTAATTAAGAAAATACTAGGAAGCAGTTTCCAAAAGGTATTACCAATAAGATGTATCTTACGGACAATAAAAATGAACTTCATTTAAGGGGGGAAAAAATGTCTTAAGAGAAAAAATAATATTCAAAGGGAGAGAAAACCAGAAAAGCCAAACCCACTGCTGTCGAGTCAATTCCGACTCACAGCCACCCCCACTGGGTTTCTGAGGCAGTAGATCTTTATGGAAATAGATTGCTCAGCAGAGTGACTGGTGGGTATGAACCACCAACCTTCCGGTTAGTAGTCAGATGCCTTAGGCACTGTGCTACCAGAGCTCCTTCAAAGGGAGACAGTCAATCTAAATAAACAGTAATGTTTTTTCATTTCCAATACCTACTATACAAAAACAGTATTCATGTAATTCTTATTTTCTTGGGTATAATACCATATATGCATCAAGCATCTATGTTGGACCTTTTTTTTTTTTTCTTCCTCTAGTTGTCACTGAGTCAGCTCCAACTTATGGTGACCCCTTGTATTTGAGAGTAGGAATGTGCTTCATAGGGTTTTCAATGGCCGATTTTTCATAAGTAGATCGATTGAAAAGCCTTCTGCAGTGCCTCTGAGTGGAGTCAAATCATCAACCCTTCAGTTAGTAGCTGAGCACATTAACCGTTCTATCACCCAAGCTTCTTTATCAGTAGCTCTTAACCTCACTGTAGAGCTTCTTAAAAGTACAGACACCAGGGCCCCTTCTACTGAATGAGGATCTTCAGGACTCAGCCCACGCATCTGTGTTGTTAGTGAAAATCAATTATTCACACAACAGAATACTGTTATCACTAGATTCCTGTTTTAAGTAGGCCATCCTGGATGATGGTATTACCCTTGATTCTTTTTCTTCATGTTATTTAGTAGTCATTTTTTCTCTCTTCAGTGAATATATATCTATGTCATACACTCAAATACATGGAAAAGATCCTCAGAATGTCATCAAAGGTGTATGTGAAAAGGGGTTAGAAGTGATTTTTAAATGAAAAAAAATTTTTTTTTTTTAAAGACTATTGTCAAATGACCTAATACCACAGTAGATTAACTTTCTGATTTCCCAAGAGACGAATGTGTCCTTAGCAGTCAATGGTTTTTGGGTAACATCTCAGCCTGAGATCAAAGAAGGGATTAGGACATTGCAGAAATTCCAGAGATGAGTGGCACGAAGTGGTTGCTGATCGAAGTGGTTGCTGATCGCTACACTGCACTTGAGGCTATGCCCTCTAACTTTGAAAAAAACAATCATCCAGTCTGACTCATGAGAAGCCGGTATGTGCAGGGTGGAAATGCACTCAGTAGAATTGTCAAGGCTGTGATCTTTCAGTAGCAATTGCCAGGACTTTCTTCCAAGGGGACTCTGGATAGGTTTGAACTGCCAACCTTTGGCTTAGTAGTCAAACACTTAACCATCTGCACCACCCAGCCACTCCTCAGATCACCAGGCCTTCCTTTGGAGGGGCCTCTGGGTGGGTTTAAACTGCCAACCTTTCAGCTAGTAACCTAGCGCTTAGCTGTTTAGGCTGTAGTGCACTGACTGCTAACCAGAAGGCTGGCAGTTCAAACCCACCAGCCACTCCTCAGAAGGAAGACTGGGCAATGTACT